GTTATAGCCTGTTTTGACCTTCTCCATTATATCCTATGGGCTAAATGTCGAAACAGGGTTGAAACAGCAAAACATTTAGACAGAACAAAATGGAACAGCTCTTTTGACTCGAAACAAAAGTCAAAATGAAATGCTGTTCTGTCGAAATGTTGAAATGCTAGTCGAAATGGAGCGCTTCTGTTTTGCACAGCCCTAATGGTTATCTAATGCAGATACTGGTACATGAGACATGCTGGCTGGGGATTTCCAATTAATACCAAATTATTTAATATAATATTCTTGTCACCTTTCAACTCTGTTAATCCATGTCCCTTTGTGTCTGGTGTGACATGCATTTTTTTCACATATATCTTTCTATTATTTTGGAAAAGTTCTATACAATGGATCTGGTTCCATGCTCTATCTTTTAGGCAGTATAGCACAGGAGCTAGAACACAGATAGAATGGGTATAAACTATTTATGAACCTTCTGATGCTTGAGACATTCCAGAGGGCAGTGTCCCTGCTGGAATCAGGTCAACTTTCTCAAGGAATGTTCATATTTATGGCAGTCTAGTATCATTGCCTATTCATGGCTCCATAGCCTGAAGTAGCTGTAGTAGGATGTGCTTCAGTCACTCACCATCCCATTCACACTACGCCCCTGACAAACTCCTATGGTAGCCACTGACCAATAGGGCAGCATAAAGTTGTCTATGTGCACAGGAGGGACAGAATCTATCTCAATGTTATCTTGAAGAATTCATGTGTTTCTGCTTTAGTGTAAAGTATTCAAACATTTATTGGGTAACACCTGTAGTGTTTTACATTATGCACTTATCATTCCCATTTGCATCATGACTTTCAACCTGTCTTCCCAACCATAATTTTCCCTTTCTAAGGAGGATTGAAACATTTTTCCTGATGTAGGAAGTAACTTTTGTATTTCAGTCTTTAATATTACATGTTCCCTAAAAGCTTCTATCACACTATTTTCAAAGATCCCTTTGATACTGCAGCTCCTGCTAAATGTGTTGCTTTTCAGCCTCTCGTAGGCTAAGATCAATTGTAGTGGTAATTTTTAGCTTGCCATGTATTGACATACTGCAGTACCTTAGCTGGATTAAAAGATGATATTTTCTATTAACACCTTTAGAGGTGGATTAAAAAGATCTCCATGCCCAGATATCACTAGATCTCTCCATTTATTAAAAACATCTGAATGAAAGATGCAGTGTTTTAGGAGTACACTGAACGGACCTATACCCTGGTGAGACTCAAATCTTTAATTCTTTTTTATATGTCAACCTATGCCTTAAAGGAAAGTGCCATCAATGATAAAATTGTAATTTACTTCATGATGAGTCTAATTTTCAGCTGTAGGAGCAATTGGTGCACCTATAAAAATGTACTCACTAACTGCACCTGAAAGATGGGGTCTGTATGCCTGTCTTGCTTTGCCAAATAGCCCTTAACTTGCCTTCCACAAGAAAATGTTGAATAAAAAATATGTCACAAGTAGAAATATGCCTTTATGTACAGTTGCAGCAGATATTGACTGATGCTTTCATTTAGAAGCAATTATTTGAATATAAATCTTAACTTTTCCAATTATTTATTATTGCTGTTCAGTGACATTTTTGCAGCAATTGTGATGCTTCAACTTAATAAGACCAGTGTTTTATCTATAACTTTTCAACATAGAATGAAGAACCTAACAACTCACAGATGCTGATTCTCTAATTTTCAGGAAAAGCCAAACAGTTATCTATACTCAATAAATTGAAGTTTTCTTACCTGGATGATGATGTAGGCTCAGTGATCTGCCTCTGCATGCGTGCATGTTTGATTAGATGTTCTTTCAATGCATTCTGAACCTCGGCTGGAATGTCAGGTGAAGTGTGACTGATTTTTATGGCAGCTTCAAGGATTTTTGCTGAAGGTTTGCCATTTTCTTTAATCTCCTTTTTCTCATTGGTCTCAAAAACCTCAGTGGGAGCATTAGAGTTGCTCTGAGGGATATTACTGGGGTTGGAAGTCAGAGGTTTGCTTCTCCAGCATGGCCAACATAACTTCCAGAAAACAAAAAGCGAGACGACCAGCAAGGCAAGCCCACAGAAGCTGACGACCACTGCGAGCAGACTGACTGAGATGTCTGCAAAGAATCAAACATGAGGAGCTCATCAGGACAAACATGGAAAGAAAAAGACAAATGACATGTAGACATCAGTAAAGACACAGAGTCTAGACAATTGCACTGTGTAGAGCTTTGAGGTTATGGAACCCCTTGATATAAACAAGTTTCCCTTTTCATTGACATCAAAGGGTTTGGGATCACACTTTAAGTGAGAACAGGGAAAACCTCAATGAAGTAAAACCACACAAGCATATGATTCAAAAAATTAAATTGGTGAAGATATTTCTTTGAGCATACACTGGTAGAGATCATCATATATACCCAATCACTGTATACAGATCTTTATGAACTTCCAAATTTTGGTCGCATGAGATGGCTATATTGGGAGTTTGCCAAAAGCCTAACAGCAATACACCAAGAGGTGCCTGCTCTTTTGTTTTATATGTAGAGATGTGACTGACAGAGGCTAAAAGCCCAAGGTTGCTTTTAGCACTTTGGTACCTATGGTCTGGTTATACTTCTATAGTGAAAATGACACTGGCTTTGAATTTACATCATAATATGCAGTAAGCAAGCCATGTGCCAAGCAGCACACTTTAGTTTCACCTGACAAAGTAGGTTATGCCTTATGAAAGCTCATGCATCTCTGAACCAGTTAGTTTCTAAGGGTGCCTACACACATGTAGCAAGGCTGCTCCGATGCACTGTAGTTACAGCGTGTCAGAGATTAATCGAATCTGCTGGAGTGTGGCAATTACCGTGCTCCAGCAGACTCCAGCGTCATGTATATCAGCATCCCCACACTGAAAAATGGTGGCAGGGGCCTTTCAACTAAAGCTTGTTTGATGAGTTTCAGTTAAAGTGACCCCATTGCCATTTTTCAGCCCAAGGATGCTGTTACACCTGACAGTCTGGGTGCTTTAATTAGAGTGGCTCTCAGAGCCACTCTAATTAAAACGCCACCCCCACATCCCAGAGTACGCGTATAAACACCCTAAGGTGCCATCCTATCCTGCCTTGTACTGTACTGTGTAACTTTACCTGTCACAAATGTGTTAACACATCCAATAACATCATCAAAGTAAAGAAAACAGTTTACATCACTGAAGTTTGTGAAAGGACTCATTTTTTAGGGATTGTTGGTAGTGTCCATTAGAGCCTTAAGTAGCAGCATAATCGTATGGCACACTTCAGTTTGATTAATTCAGTATTATGTTATGTTATAAAATATAACTAAAAATCTTTTCCTTTTGAAAAGGGCCATTCATATGTCTTAAAAATATTAAATACATCCTGCTTAAATATCCTTTAAGCAATTGGTGCTACAGCTCATTAGAAAAAGGTTTGACAGTTATACAGCTAATATTTTGTATCTAGAGCTTCAGGCTACATACTATTAAAGTGAACCAGTGGAGAAATACATTGATCAATTTGAACACATTTTTGCTAAAGCATCATAGAAAAAATATTCCTCTAACAACTTATTAGCTCTGTGAAACAGTATGTAACTATATAACTAAGGAAGCTTAGAGTTCCAGCTGAAGATTGGACCAGGTTTCTTTAAACCTATAATTCCAGAGATGACATTCAGTAACAAAGAATGATCTCAAGGCCCACACATCTTAACAACAGCAAAAGAAAAAAAAGAAACATTTAGAGTCTTGAGATTTTAAAGGCCTCAGAAAAGTACAGAGTGGAGTTAAACAGAGAACAAAACAGATAAAAGCAAAAAGTTCTATAAAAAAGAAAAGAAATAGAACAATTCTCAGAATTATAGATGATTAGAAAGGAGAAAAAAAGGGTAATTCTAAAACTTCAGGTTTTCTTTAAGGCTAAGAATTTAGGGCTACAGTATATGACAATAATTTGGACTCACAATGCCAGAAAGGCATCCAGTGTGGATTTGAAGCGAGCAACACACAGGGCAGTGGTTGGGGTGCTGTGAGAACCTACCAGGGATGTTGCACAGCTACTCCTGTTCTAGATCTTCCAGGTTCATCTGAAGTAAGAACTGGTAAAGCAGAAGTAGCGTATCTGCCTCTATAATGTAATGTAGGCAGATACGCGACCTCTGCTGCAGCTCCATCTTGGCTGGGCTCTGCATGCCTCCTGAAAACCAAGGCACATAGGGAAATTTCACCCCATGGCAGCAGTAGCCTGGAGAACGATGTTGCTGCCACCAGGTAGGGCTGCCCCATGCATCTCTGTGTTCTTGAGCCAAACCAGGAAGAGGTATAGCAGAAACCGAGTGCCTGCCTGCATAATGTAATGACCCATTTGCCCCATATGCCTGTTTCCAGGAGACAACATTCAGGGTAGGATCTGGAAGGGTTGTGGCAAGAGCAGACACTCCTACCGTAGCTGCTTCCTAACCTGGGAGGTGCACTGCACAGATTCACCTGGCTGCAGCAACTGTGGCAGCGGAGTAAACATAATATAATTGTGATGATCTAATTAACTGATAACAAATTAATAATAGCAATGCAATTATGCTTTTTAAATGGGATGCTGCAAAATTTTGAAAAGTTGTGGAGGAGTGCCTCGAGTCTAAAAAGACTGAGAACTGCTGATATAGGGAATCCACAATCGTCTTCCATAGTTAATTACTGTCAAAATTAAAATGTGTGCCTATTTTCTAATTTGTATTTGTGGGGCTTTAGCCTCCTGCCACTTGTTCTGATTATGGTTTTTTTATCTAAGAAAATAAAGAATCCATAAGGTTGTGGTATTTCCTCTTTTTGAATGTATTGATGCACTAACATCGTCACCACCCAAATTCTTTTTGATAAGTTCCATGCACTGAGCATTTAAGTAAAGCCAGACAAGAAATGTTTTCTTATCCTGAATTGTGACAAAAAGCCATCATTCTGAGAATGCCTGTGAAGTGACAGGACACCTAATTTTAGCTCAGGTCAAATGGAACATTTATAAAAATTAAATTAATTTGGTTGAGACAGCGGTGTTGACGTGAAGGCTTCTTCAACAATGGGCAGATGTTCATGGGAGGAGGACTGCTATCAAGAGATGGGATCCATCTGACAAGAATGGGGAAAAACATCTTTGTGCATTGTCTATCTGTAAGGAGGGCTTTAAATTAGGTTTCACTAGGGATGGTGATCAAAACCCTCCAGCAGCAGAGCACATAGTCCAGAGGGGAAAGGACTTGAACAAACAACTCAATTCTGGGAAAAAGTCAGTGAGCTACAGGACTGCATCAAGTGGCACAGAAGGGAAGCAAGGAGGTCAAAATGCAAAATATATCTGAAGTATATGAAAAACATATACACTTGTTCCCTGGCTCAGGAGGAAGAAGACAGCAAGGCAGAATGTATTTAGGTTATGATGAAAGGTGAAAGATGCGGCACCAATATAATGGTGGGGATTTATTGCAGGCCACCTAATCAGGAAGAGGAGGTGGATGAGGCACTGATTCTTAACTTGTGTGGAGGGCAACTTTGTTTTTCATCAAGTGGAGGAGACAACTAGGGGATCATGTATCTTGGATTTTTTTCCTGACCAGCAGGGAAGAACTGGTGAAAGATGAGAAGATGGTGGGTAACTTGGCAGGAAGTGATCACAATAAAGTGGAATTCCAGATCCTGAGACAGGGAAAGCATGAGGTCAGAAAAATTAGGATGCTAGATTTCAAAAAGGCAGATTTCATCTGACTCAAGGAGATAATAGGCATGGTGTCCTGGGAGGACATATTGAAGGATAAAGGTACCCAAGAGGGCTGGGAGCTTCTAAGGGGCACAGTATTGGAACAACAAGAAGAGGTTGTATAAGTATGCTGGCCAGAAGAGAAAGACCAAAGAAGCTGTGGGTCCTCTGTTAACAAGCCAGGGGGAACTCCTAACTGAAGATGCAAAGAAGGTGGAGCTATTCAACAGCTACTTTGCCTCAGTCTTCACAAAAAAAAAAATTAAACAGTGGTCATATACATAAAAGGGATAATCTGGATAAGGAAGGGGGCAATCTGAGGGAGGAGAGAACAAAAGAGACTGTCAGAGAGCTTTGGCTGGGCCTGAATGAAATCAAGTCAGCAGGGCCAGATGAGCTTCATCCCAGGGTCCTGAAAGGAACCAACAGAGCAGATCTTGAAGCCCTTGTCAATGATCTTCATGAAGTTGTGGGAGATGGGCCAGGTACCAGAGGATTGGAAAAGGGCCAATGTAGTACCTCTCTTTAAAAAAGGCAAGAACTAGGACCCAGGGAACTACAGACTGGTTAGCCTCACCTCAAAACCTGGGATCTTACTGGAGCATATCCTAAGGAAGGCCATGTGCAAGCATCTAGAAGAAAGAAAGGCTGATTGCATGCAGCCAGAATGGATTTATGAAAAACAAATCATGTTAAACAAACCTGATGTCTTTCCTTGACAAAGTAACTATTTGTGTGGATGAAGAGAATGCTGTGGATATATCTGGACTTCAGCAAGGCTTTTGACAAGGTCCCACAAGACCTTCTCATAAACAAATTGGAAAAACGTGGACTGGACAAAACTGATATAAGGTAGATAAAAAACTGGCTCAATACCTGCAAGCAAAGGAAAGATTGACAAGTTAGGCCAGAGCTACCAGGATGAACTTCAGTGTGGACAATGGGTGACATCTGGCTAGATACAGCATATGGAAAAGGACTTGGGAGTCTTGGTAGACCACAAACTCAATATGCAGTGAGATGCAGCCACACAAAAGGTAAGTACAGTTTTGGGATGCACCCATAAAAGCATTAGGTGCAAGACACAGGAAATGGTAGTGCATCTCTACTCAGCACTGGTTAGGAATCATCTGGAGTACTGTATGTAGTTCTGGGCTCCACATTTTAAAAAGGAAGTGGAGAAGTTAGAGAGAGTCCAGAGGTGGGCAACAAAGAAGATCAAGGGCTTGGAAAGCAAGTCATACAAGGAGAGGCTGAAGGAGCTAGGTATGTTCAATTTGCAGAAAAAGAGCTTAAGAAGGCAATGTTATAGAAGTCTTCAAATACTTGAAGGTCAGCCATTAGAGAAGAAGGAGAGC